TCATATTGGTTTAGACATGACTGGGAGGACTGAAACCAAAAGAGGGGGAACAGTGTAAACACTTCAGTTGTGAAAGCCTCACAGGCTACAGGGAAGATGCAGAACAACAGTGGAATTACAGAGAGTTTAAATCCACTCCCTGGCTCGTCTAGAAGGCAGTGTGATGCATCCTGCAGCTGAGACTAGCAATCTCAGACTAGCACAGGTGTCCTTTGTTGGGCAATTTCAACAGCCACCTCACCTTGCTTTGTATTTCATCCATAAACATTGAACTGTTAAGGAAACACATACAGAAAATACATTTTTCCTGCTTCATTGATACACACAGAGTTCTCACATGGCACAATGCTTTTCCTTGGGGAAGAAACAGATGTTAAAGCCTGCATATATATGTGTGTGTGTGTATGCATATATATAGTACTCTAGATAGGATTTAAGAATATGCTATATAAAAAAATAAAACATAGAATAAAAAGAAAGCATATTAATAAAAAAATGTATTTTTATTAAAATAAAATAATATCAATAATAAAAGTATAATAAAATAGAAATAAAATAAAATTATAAAATTATATATGGATATGTTTGAACTATATGTTTATATAGTTCCACCCGCTGCCCCCTCCCCCCACCCCCAGCATATAATTTTCCAACATTCAACCTCAAAAGCTAAATTTTGAGGAAAAAAAGCTGAGTTGAAAATAGGCTGTTTAGCAAGGGGAGTTTCTGAAGTGAACAAACCTAGATGGTCTTAAACTCTTTACATACATAGAAGAAAATGAAATGTGGAAGTCTTATCAGACTTCTCAAAGCCTGAATGAATACTAAATCCCAAATCATAACCTTTTCTACCCAGCTGTTAATTTTTACCCACAGTCAGATGTTTTATGTTTTCTTCCCAACATATTTTAAGTAAGCAATGTCAGAAATCAGGAACTTATCCTTTAAAGATGAACAACTATAAGGCACTCACATACTAACACAATACGATCGACATTATTAATGGAAGAACCAGCATACTAGCATTTCCACATACAGCTTGACATACAAGATAGAAGCCACTGTGTTTTTGCATACTCACTAGTTTTGCACTGACAAATGCGGCATCCATTTTGGTCCAGTTTGAAGCTGTAGATACAGTCTTTTTCTGTCAAAGTGCAGTTCACCAGAACCTCACAGGTGGGTGGACCTATTGTGATGTACGTGGGTTCTGAGGGCGAGAAAATATAAACCAAATAAATTTGAGATTACTTGAGTCTATTAATAGGTATACACAGTGCAACAGTGAAGAGAATAACCTTTAAGTAATTTTGCTTCTGATTAACGAATATTCTTGGCAATTCCAAAACAATTCAAAAACCAGACTTTTTTTTGAAGTGATGTACATTCATTACAAACACTATAATGCCACATAAGGCTTCTGAAATATGGAAACAGGAAAAAATACCGTGGTTTTTTTATTCATTATGAAATCAGCTGTCCTGCATATGCAGTTTAAAATTGAACATAAAATACATTTTGCCTGCTTTTCTCCTAAAGTATTAAATCAAAACTTTGTGCAGATTTTTTTTTTTACTTTAAAAACTGAACAGAGCTTTCTCCAAAGTGCAGTTGATTGATCATACCAAGCTGCAAATCAAAGCACATGACTCAGTAGATCTAATCTTTCTCTGTGTGAATAAGATCACTTCTACTGAAATTTAAAGCAGAAAAGACTCTGAATCCCAAAAGGGAATGTAAGATACACTGCGTGTGAAAGGTCTCTGGAAACCACGGAACACGTCAATTCATTTAAAACATCACTTCTTACAGTATACTTCCACAGTACCACACTATGCTTTTTGCAGTTGAAGATACTATTGCCAATTATCAGGTATTTATGGACAGTATACTACTTTATTTTGGTCACAAATGAAATATGTTTGAGTATGAAATTTAATAGTGGTCAGAAACATGAACATGGTAGTCAGGAATATGAACGTGGTTTATTACACAAAGTTATTAGAATAAAATAATGTCAAAAAACTTATGAAAATAACAAGGAACCTTAACACTACCATCATAAAACAGGATACAGAAGGAATTAAACACCTATTTTTCCTGAAGGACTTTTGCTCGGTGAGACTAATTTAGTCTACCTTGTGTTTTTCATAGAACAAAATCGCATAACAGCCAACAAATTTATAATTATGAGCATTATTAACATTATACTAAGCATTTAGTAAACACAGATTTCATGACTTTTAAAGAAGTAACTGTGAGCTTTCGCTTCACTGTTTCAACTGTTTGAGTTTATCCTTTTCTTCCATTTCAAGAGATGAAGACAAAGGAAATTACTTTTGAAAAAAGATCAATACATGTATCAATAAATTGTGAAAACGTGATGAAATGATATAGTAGCCACCAGGGCAATAAACCATAACATGCCTTATGCAGCATGCACATTTTCATGGATTGGAGACAGCCATACATTGCCACCTCTCATTCTCAAACTAAATATATTGGAAGGCAGATTTTGCCATCCTTAAACCCTAATCTTTACTCTCAGACTGAAGGTAAAATACTACTCAACATTGATTAAGTTGTTAGAAGTATACAGTGTTATCTAAATTACAAATTTCTGGGCCTATTGGCTCCACATCCAGCAGGCAGCTTTTGCACTCATGCCTTCCAGTCAAGTGAAAATTATCCTATTAAAAGAAGGAGCTTTTCTGCTTTCATTGTCCTTCACAATTTTCAGCTTTTGTAGCTTCTCCCAGCCCTACTTTTCCCTTCACAAGAGTTTATACAGTGGATGAACATTTTTAATCCTTTTTAGATTATGGCAGCTAAGTACAGATTTTGGAGGGGAAAACTCCATGAAAGGCACTACAGAGCAACGTTAGATGACTTCAAACTTATCTCAGAGGTCACAGTTCAGATTCCTCACTTTGCTGAAAACTTCAAAGTAACATTTGAATTCTGTTGCTTGTGGCTTTGCACATGTGGCATGAGAGAGCAATGTTTTCTAGAATCTATGGATTCCCAAACTATAATCCATTTAATTTCAGTGAACTCTCTGTATTTGTTTTCAAGTTCACTCTGTAAACTCTCTGACTAAATCATATTCATATTAATATTTGACATTTGCAACTTCAACAAACCATTAATTTGGGAATCCAGAACATATTGATATAGACCAATAATTTGATATATTTCAGAAACTCCATTAATTAGTCACGCCTGTTTAGGGCTCAGAATATATAAATTAGTGTTGCAAACAAACTGATTTACAGCATCTGGTGCCTATTCTGAAAACCTCCTTTCCTACCTCACTCCATTCTCTAACCAAACTAACCTAAACATGCAAAAGGCCAAGATATAAGACTCTGAAGCTACATTCAGGTTAAAGGTCAGCCAACCTAAACTCTACCTGGAAAATGACAAAAAATCCACTAGCAGCTAAAACCACTATGAATCATATGAATCATTAATGTTACCCAGAGCAAAGTTCACAAACAGTAACCCAGGTCGGAGAACTGGGGAAGACCATGGCTTTACCATCTGACTACAGAACAGTTATGTAAAATATGTAGTTAAAGAACCCACAAAACCTCACTGAAAGCTGCAATGCAGGTTAGTACTGACTGATCCACTTGGTTATAAACTAAAGTTAGAGAGAAACATGAATGTGTTTCACCCCCATCACTGAAGTTCATCCGTCAAGATAACTTCTCTGTAATTGCAGGTATATATTATTATCTTGAAAAAAACACAAAACCCAGCAGATACGTTATGTGTTTTTCATGGTGCCTTTTCAAACCTGTACTTCTGTGTTTTGATGCTCTTGTGTCTTGAACACAACAATTTTTTGCCCCCTTGATATATTCAGTACTGTTACTTCTTACAAGGGACAAAATTAAACTATCATTATTTTAATTTGAAAAGTTTTTGTTAGTCCTGTTCATTGTGTTTTATTATTCTGCCACCTCCCACTTTTGTGTCTGCTCTCGGCATCCTTAGCGTTTCCAGACAAGCTTACAAATCTGTTTTTTCTCCCTCCTGTCCCTAAAGGTAAGCCCTGAGATAAAGTAATTTTATATGCATGCCTGCTTCTCAATGAGCTGTAAGCAGAGGACAAAAGAAATAATTTAATTCCCTACCCCCACATGTGCAAAAATGCAGCCAGGGAAAAAAAAAAAAAAAAAAGAAAAAAAAAAGAAGGGAAAAAACCAACCCCCCAAAATCAGCCCTTTTCACTTCACTAGACAAGACTCAACAAATAAAGCCAGCTCTGCTCTGCCAGGCTTCTGGCTATTTGAATAGGAGAGCAGTAGCTAAGGTTGAAAAAGCATGTACCACTGCGTGATGAGAGCTAAGCCTTCACTGCTGCTCTTGGTAGAAACAGCAGAAGAAAGACCCACGACACAAATGGGTGGGAAAAATGGAGGTTGTTTCTGTTTGTGTGCTTTACCAACAATAAAACTATACTGTAGAAAGAAAGAGAGCGAGAAGAGGAAAATAAAGAGAAGGGGATTGAAGAGGGACTAGATGAAAACTGGATTTTAATAGAGCACAGTTTGCTGATAATAGATGTCAAGTGCTTATATATAAGGTTAAATGCACATTTCTATTGGAATGTCTTGATTCCATCTATGCTTTCTGAGCCTGATACTTCCTATGCTGAATTTTAGTGCAGAGGATTAATTTGTCTCCTGTGGAGTGGTTTTTTTTTTATTATTTTTTTCTTTCTAACTTTGGAGATTTCATTTATGTAATTCTTCAATTTTACAGACAACTAAAATAAATAAAAAATATTCTCCCTAAGGCTGGTACCAGGATGAAACATCATACCCATCCTCCTTATCATACCCATAGTTGTTCAAAATCTGAACTCTGGCCATTGAATTAGTATTAGAAAACAAAGAGGGATTACACTTAACTGTACTATTGCAAAGCCGCATGTATTATGAGAACACTAAACACTCAGTTTTGGCTTATATGAGGGACAAGAGAAGCACAGCCTGCAGTTGCAGTGAAGTAATGCTTCCCTCTACTTAGCACTAGCAAGCCCACAGCTGGAGTACTGTTCAGCTTTGGGATCCTCAGTAGAAAAGAGGCACAGACACACCTGAGAATAGCATAGTGCCACCAGCTGCCAGGAGAGGCTGAGACCAGGGCTTGCTCGGCCCAGAGAAGGGCTGACCAAGGTGAAGGGGGACACCCTGCTGCTGCCTACTGCTACCTAACTGGCAGGTAAGAAGACAACAAGGTCTGGCTCATATTGGAGATGCTCCAGGCTAGGATAAGAGGCAATGAACACAAATGTGAACATGAGAAATTACAACTGGATAAAAGTTGTTTTTTCTTTTAACCACATGGGTGGTCAAGCTAAGAGTCCTAGAGAGACTGTGGGATGTCCAATGTTCAAAATGCTCAAAACTTAGTTGGGAAAAGCCCTTGAGATCCTGCTCTCATTGGACCTGCTAGAGCAGGGGGTAGGACTAGAAAAAATTCTGGTGGTCCTTTCCAACTTGCATGACTCCACGAATTTCACTTTCAATAAACTTGGGACATTTCCAATAAAAGCAGCAATATCCTTGATGGATCCTGATCAGGGAACTGAAATCCAAAGATAAACATTTAAATTTCTGATGATTTCTGTATGGTTTTGACAAGCACTGATTACCTTCCTTCCGCAATACAAGTACATGTTTGCCTAACACTGGCTCTCTGAAATGTACTTAAAGACTTGAAGAGTACCTTTTATTCAAGAAACAAAATTTCTTCCAGGCTGTTATAACAGTTATTCTCTCTGAAGTGTCATTTAGTGACAGCGCAGCCACCTTTAATCAGTCTCTTTTTTCTTTTTTCCTCCCTTAAATTCATACATTACCCATAACTCTTGGCAAGGTATTTTTATTATTATTACATGTAAAAAACTTAAAACAAGGTCTTCACTTTGTTGCATTTGGACTGCAGTATTTTAACTCAAACCAGGTTTTGTTTCATGCTTTCAGTAACACTCTGTGAGGGAAGTACCTCTCCAGGCTTTTCCAAAATTGGTTTTAAGTAGGGAAGCAATTACTACGTTCTAAGTTTTTTCATGTGCACATTGTTAAATGTACTATTTTAAAATGAATTTAAAAGTAAATAGGGAACTTCTATTGCTGCTTCTGACTGTTAGAAATCCGGACCATCATGTATCTTAACCCAAAATTACTAGAAATGTAGGAGGACAAGTGTTTTACACTACTAAATCATTCCAGTTTTGAATTCCAGTCATAAATGTTGTCCTGTCAATATAGAGGGGAAAAATCCCTATCCTTATTATAACAAAATTACTGTATTTTTCCTTCCCATAAAAGTATGAGAACAGCAGGCATTGAAAAACTGGGCTCCGTTACTTTGATTTAAGCACAATGATTAACTCCAGCTAAGCAGACACAGGAGGTCTGACTTCTTTTCATCATCTTCACCATCATCTTGGTGCTCCCAGTGCAGCTCTACTTCAGTATTACTCTACACACATATGCTTGAAAGCCAGCAAGTTCTACCAATGTTTGGTGTAAAGTGTCCCAAACATACCACAGTATTATTTACAAATACTATAATAACAAACTACCACACAGTGAGTTGACAGCAGTCCATGTATATATATTCACTACAACAGGTAAACAGAGGATGTTTGGGACCCCAAAGCTCCAGGTGTTTTAAGTATGCACAGATGCATGTTTTTCTTGCCTTGTGGGATTTTTATATACACATTTTTTATACAAATTTACCTGTGTTCACATAAAAACAGCATTTCTAGCCAACTTCACTGTAACAAAGAATTTTTAATTTGCATCACAGAAACATGTTTCTTCAAAACTATAAAACTGTAAGCTCTACAGATATACCACTATATAGAGGTTGAAAACGACAATCTGAGATCCTCCTTTCAATACCCAAACCACCATGGATTTTACCAATTCCATTTTAAGACTGCAGACTACTGCAGTATCTACTTTTTACAAGGAATTTAGGAGCACAGGCCGTAAAAAATCATTGCCAAGAGAACAATTTTTACCTTAACAGACATTTAAACCCACAAAAATCCTATTTTGTATTTTATTTGCATTTATTCAATATATATATACTGACTTTTACTGGCAAGCTTAAACAGATTCAGGTGTTTGTTTTCATAGTGATATAACACAATTACACTATATTCTTATCAAGATATTTTGAGGAATTATTTGGAGAATATTCCTCATGCAACTAGAAGACAAGGTTCCTTGTGATTTCTTCCCATGTATAATAAAAATTTGGGAAAAAAATGGCAAAAACATGCAAAAAAGCATTTGTATTTTTGAAAGGCTAAATTACAATCAAGATAATTTCAACATACAAGTTCATACCAATAGTAACACATGAACTTTTCAAACACATCAAACTAACTTTTATGCAGCAAAATTGAGCCACCGGACCTAAAAACATTCCTAAATTTAAATGTGAAGACTATGTAGACATAGTAAGAATAAGAAGTGGGATTGTATGCTTTACTGCTCCATGTTGCAACTCCCTAAGCTCCACTTTCATATTCCCATTTTGCTAATGTGAACCAGTCTATAACTTAATTAACAACTGTCAGATAAAGTAGGTTAATTCCTTATGCACATTATTAAAAAGTCTGGAACATGGAAACACATTTTCAGTGTATAGCACAGGGAAGCTTTATGTTCACCTGTGAGCATCACAGATGTAGGTATGCTCTCCCTACATTTAGGCCAGCAGTGCTGATGACAAAATCCCCCACATTTTCCAGAATAAATGGAAAAACAAATTGAAAAAATCCAATTTTTGCCCATTAATATTTCCAATACTTCTATCAATAATTAACTACTTTTTCTTTAAGGAGGGACAACAGTGAAAAACTTTTACAGAAGTCCCAAATTCAGAAGATAACTCTCTGAAGCTTGCACCACATTTAATTTACAATTATTTTTAACTCCAAAGAGGGTGACTAATATAAAGTAGCAATGCATTTAGATTCTGCGGTGATGAGTCTTGGGATATTTGGTGAAGATGTTAGCCATATGCAAAGAATAAGCTGAACAGAAGAGAATTCTAGGAAGCCCCACATCTCATCAGGAGCATGAAATGAAAACCTCTTCTGGGGGAGGAAGGAAAAATCAATCAAAATCATGTTTTGCACATGGAGAAAGACCTCTAACACCAATAATAAAGAACATGCCTGTGTTTGGGGAAAAGGAAATAGCTCCCTCTCCTGTAGTACTTTATAACACAAGCTACCTTTAAAAGGATTAAGAAGTTCTGATCCTATGAAACCAGCACTAATTGACTTAAAGAAACAGCATCGGTGCATTTAAGCATTTACCATGAAAATTAAGAAGAAAAGCACAACTGAACAGGAGTCTAACTTTTACCCATGCTTTATGTGGTAAGTAGCTAAAAATTGGTCCTGAAGGGTGTGCTGCTCAACTGTCTTTCGAGTCTGCATACTTGTTTGAATTCTGTCTGCTGTCCAAAAAAGTTAACTGCAGCCTACTAAGCAGCAGCATGTGTGTTTACTTAAGCTTCCTGTAAAAACATTCATATCATTCCAAGAGTGACTAAATGTTTTCCATCCTCATAGTTCACATTCCAGCCTTCCCCGCCCCTCCAGTTCATTACATGAAAAATATCAGTCCCGAGTACTGGGCAAGAGAATTTCCTTCCTGGGTTTGACATACCTAATGCGTTGCAGGATTTTCTTCCCCAGTGTTTAGCAATCTGTGTTAACTATCAGGGTTCAACAATTCAGCATCACATAACTATTTATAAAATGTATGCAAGGACTTAAGATGATACCATTTTCTAACGTCACAAAACTGTCTGAAAATATATTCACTAACACTTCAAACACATAGTTCATTTTAGCAGCCTTTGTTTCAAATTTTATTCATACTGTCAGCCTGAAGCTACTTATACATGTTTTTTTCCTTGAAAGTCAACTATTAGAATATATTAAATATAGTAACTATTACAATTGTTGCAAACTGAAGAAGCCTCATAAGAACTAAAGCTGCATGGGGGTGGGTGGGAGGTGTGTTCTTTTTTTTGCAGTGATGCAATCAAAATACAGATTTTCCATTCCTAAGACGTGAAGTTAAAAACTTTTGCTGATGTATTCAATTCTTTTAGTTTTCAGTTTAACAGGCATGTATACTCTTCAAACACATTTTTATGCTGATAAGTTTGGTTTTTTTAATATAATTTTAGGTGGAGTGAAATGAAGAAATAATCACCTTTATTAAAGCAGAATCAGTTAAGCTTATTAAGAAATGTCTGAGTAGATTAAGGCAACCATTCAGTTATCTTTATTAGGTGAAGATACAGCACTAAATTAGTGTGTATCTGGGCCAAATCTATGAATACTATAGATGCTGAAAAGAATTAATTAGAGGATCCATGAGGTTCTTTATAAGTGAGACATCCTTAGCTGAACTGATGTATACATTCAGGATTCTTTGGCTAATCATCCTTTCAGTAGTCTTCCACTGAACTTAATGATGAAATACTGAAAACTACGAAAATGTTATTTTATCCTAGCATACACTAGCATTTTGACTTTCTAAAACTCAGAAACACTTTCATTGGAAGTAGATTTCATTATATCCTGGATGGATATAGACAAGCTCAGCTGCCTTGTCTAAAACCACTATGCTAAATCATGATCTGGCAAATGTAAGCTCAATTCTCTACAGCACAGTGTTTGCATCCCTTAATTGACTTTGATGAAAAGGCTGGTTGAGAGCTACAGCACTGCTGTTGAACAATAACTTATACTTCATGCTCTAAGGAGATTTCTGGGCCCAGATCCTGTGCCGGTGAACGCTGCTCACTACCACTGACTTCATCCTGAATGAATCAGATTTCTTTTCACTGGACTCTGCTGTCTGTTTTTACTTAATGAAGTGCTGGACACGCTAAAGGAACTGAATTGAATTACATCTCAGCTAGAGTTTGAAGCCCTTTATTGATGAAAATGTTAATTTCTTTTTGTGAAGATAAAGTGTCACCCATAATGACAGCAAAGTAATGTGGGCTTTATTCATGAAAACCTTCCGAGGGGATTTTGTTTAACACTTAATTTCTCATTCACAGCTTATGCTGGCACCCTGCCACCTGTACCTGAGAGCTCTCATGCAGAAGGACATACTGCAAGATAACCAGTTACTGAGTATCACTGAACAGGGTTGCCTTCCCTATGAATAGCCTGAGCCTCTGGAAGATGCAAAGGAACAGAAGCAACCACAGACTTTCAGAAGTGACATTTCCGGCATCTTTGCCAGTTCTGAACACTGGTAATTTTGTTAAAAACATACAAATCAGGTATTTTCATACTACCCTAACCAATATTTACTTGCTGTGAACACAACTATTACTCCAATTTGCAGATGGCTGTCCACAGATGCAGATGGCCTCAGGGAAACATGGTTATTTCTATCACTGTAGCTTGTTTGGCGCTATTCATATGCTGTCAAATCTTGACACTAAACAGCTATTTTAAGCTCTGATATTCACTTTTTTATTTGGTAAAATAGATCAACAGTGTAAGTGCTAACTTAAACCACACCAATTTTATTTAGAAAATAAACAATTGTTAGCTCAATAGAGAAGTAAGCAGCTCTGTAAGCAGCAGTAATAACACCAGCTGACTGTCAGTAGATCTGAGTACCCGTAACAGAACAGGTACACAGACCAGATCCTGTGAAGAACATCCAAGTTTAAAGAATCATAGAATGGTTCTCTTTGAGGCTTCCTCCTGCTGCAAGAACACTGGCTCTAACTAGGGGGAAAATACAGAGAGCTAGTATGATTAACTAAGCTTTGGCTCTTTATGAAGGCAGTCTAGAAAACAGAGAAAACAGACTAAATAGATAGAAGATTAATCAAACAAAGGCAAATCCCAGAAGACCCAGTATCATGACAGCAGCTACAGAAGCTATATAGAAGCATCCATCAGAAGGTTAAAACTAATTTTGTAGTTGGATCCACAGAATGTAGATCCACAGAATGCGGGTCTGCTTTTCCCAGCTTTCACCATTGAAAGGAGGTGCCTGCCTTCAAAAGCTGCATTGTCTGAAGAGCCTGAGTTTGGGGACAGGCTAATGAAGGCAGGTCTTCCCCTCCACACTAATCTGTCACAGTGTGATGTGACTCTAGCTTCATGCCTTATTGGTGACTCTTGCTTTCTGCCTTCCCCCTCCACTCCTGGAAACAGCATCCTCAAAGTAGCCAGCCCCCTCCTCACAACTTGGGTTTTTGTCTCCCATAGAATCAGAGAACGGTTTGGGTTGGAAGGAACCTTTAAACATCATCTAGTTCCAACCCCCCTGCCATGAGCAGGAACATCTTCAACTGGATCAGGCTGCTCAGAGCCCTATCCAACCTTGACCTTGAATGTTTCAGGGGATGGGGCAGCCACAGCTTCTCTGGGCAACCTGCACACCCCTTGCATAGCCCAGACATTGCTGTGCCAGAAAATCGGCAAGAACTGACAGGCGGACATGCAACAACAAGACAAACTGGCAGAAGGATTTTGATCACTTTGATGTTTACTTAAAAAGAGAACCCCAGCAGCTACATACTGGTGAGCCATAGCCGTAACTCTCATAAACACCGAGACCTACACGTGAATGACTATTATGGCTTTCAGTTATGTATTCAATTTCCTTTCACTGAAGCTGAAAATAAACTGTGATGCCCTGAACACATTACAAAGACAATCTTAGTCACGACAAACCACAGGAGGAATTTTGTTTTCCTCAACAATTTCCTTTCTTCCTCTAAAACATATCTTCTCTCTTGCAATTCGGTTCCATTCTTTCTTGCTTTATCTTTTTCTTTGCAATAACCTTTTAGGCATTTGAAGACTGGTATCTTCTCATTCAGATTTCATCATTTGCACTTTAAGCTAAACCAACACAATTTATCCAGTCTGTCTTCCTGTTTTGCAAATTTTGGACTGTGCTCACAGCTCTTCCTTTTGATTCTTTCCAACTTGCTTCCATCTTTTTCAGAGTAACAATGTCCAGAACAGATCCAAGGCCCTTACATGTCAGCTAGGGACATACCCACCCATAGGAAAGAGGGTCAAATCGATTACTTCAGGTCTTGCAAACTGTATTCTTGATCATAATTTCAGTATGGTGTTTGCCTTCTCAAAGCTCTGTTAATTTTTCTTTCCCTTTAATTATCAGACTTCTCCCAAAGAACTGCTACTTAACCATTACTCTGGTTCAGGACTCATGAAAAGTCTCCTCCGAGAACAGAGTACTGTATATACCCTTGCTGAATTTGGTCAACATCTTTCTGCAAACTCTCTGCTTTAAAACAAACATACAAATTCATACTCTGCTCTCCAAGATACCGGATGCCCTTTTTAGCTTTGTTGTCTGTAGGCAAATTAAATTTAGCTCTGATCTGAGCTACTGTAAACATCAGAGCTGGACACAGCACAGATACCAGTAAATACCAACTATAAGACAACTCAAAAAAGGGTGCCCACAGATTTGAAGACTAAATCTGTACACAAACCCCTTGTACTGCAGCACTACATACCCCTGTTCCCCACACACCTACCACATGTTCGTGTCTCTTCCACCCGATCGATCTCCCCAGGAAACTTCAGCATGAAGTATCGTGAGCACTTCACTCAGCTTCCCCTTTCCACCATCAGCATCAATAGACAAGATTCAAGTGAGGGGAGCTGAATAATTACCCTCTTTCTCCAAGCTGAGCAAACCCCAGAAACTCATTCAGAAAATTATACATCTCAGACCAGTTTTGCTGTCTAATCAACACTGGTGTGTGAATTGTGTGGGCTATGTGCACACATACAGGATATACGCTGTGGATATGTATACAGAAGTGTGTGAAGAAGCAATAAAAAGGGTTTACTGTGGACAACTGATACAAAACAAGTCTGTATGGTATTATTATGTATCACAATTACTACTCCTTGATCTCTAATTCAGAAAGCTGTGAACAGCTGTTTCTATATAACTTCAGTCTCTTCAATCCTTGGACTCTGCTTTTCTTACTGCTGTAGTAATAACACCGAGATTTTGCTTTGCCTAGAAAGGTTGGACCAGGTGATCCTTCAGGTCCCCTTCCAGCCTGGTATTCTATTATTCTGCGATACTTTGGTCTGAACTTACTGTGTTCAAAGCCTGAATGCATTCATGTGCTGACATACTGCACTGATTATTTCAAGAACCTGTGTACACAGAATTTCTACTACATTATGTTTAATCTCAGACCGCAGAATGTTTCGAAAGCGTAACCCAGGAACAATTTTATCCTTGTGTAGCTGCAGGAATGTGAACTTACCTAGGGGAACAGATACTTCCTTCAATGAAACCGATTATAAACCAGCCAGGAAATAACTGAATTGGCAGAACCATAACTGCAGCAATATTTAGATTGAAGAAAGAGAGGAAAATATAGAAGTGACTGATTCAAATAACCATTTACTCTGGATGAGCTGCAGCCAGGTCAGATCCACGAGCACATTGCTTAGCATTTGCCTGTCAGTTTCAGGTCCCACAAACAACTCTACCCCTCAACACTTCAAACGAAATAAGTGATAGAAATATCTTTGATTAAATACTTTGTTTCGCATACTAAAGAGCTAATATCTTACATGCATAAAATAAGTTCACCCAACTGAAGCTAGCTGCTGGCAAGTGGGTTCTCTTACATGCAAACAGAAGTCTGATGAGAAATAAATGCACACTCAAAAATACTGATAAGCATACAAACTTCTCTGCCTTGTTATTCTTGACCTAATGCCTATTTTTAAATGAAAATATGGGCTTGAATTGGTTCATCAGCAACTAAATTGATAAAAATAATAGAAAGATTTCAAGAGTCATTAGTCTTCCTGCTTTAGAGTTGAAGTAGGGTTAAGAGTCTAGAAGGAAAAGAATTGTTTCCTACATTCTGCACCAGTGAAAAAAGAAAGTGAAGTAGTTAATGCAAAAAGAGCCATAACTTAATTAAGAAATGTGACACACAATACATGTAGGAGCAGAAAAGTATATTCATGATGAAATTGCATTAATACGGCTTCAGCATTACTATATATAGTAATTTTAAACTGGTGTACAAAAAGTGTATTATTTCACAGTATCACAGTATCACAGTATGTTAGAGATTGGAAGGGACCTCAAAAGATCATCTAGTCCAATCCCCCTGCCGGAGCAGGAACACCTAGATAAGGTTACACAGGAATGTGTCCAGGCGGGTTTTGAATGTCTCCAGAGAAGACGACTTCACAACCTCCCTGGGCAGCCTGTTCCAGTGTCCTGTCACCCTCACTAAGAAGAAGTTTCTTCTCAAGTTTAAGTGGAACCTCTTGTGTTCCAGTTTGTACCCATTGCCCCTTGTCCTATCATTGTTTGCCACTGAGAAGAGCCTGGCTCCATCCTCGTGACACTCCCCTTTTATATATTTATATACATTAATAAGGTCACCCCTCAATCTCCTCTTCTCCAAACTATAGAGACCCAGCTCCCTCAGTCTTTCCTCATAAGGGAGATGCTCCACTCCCTTAATCATCTTAGTTGCCCTGCGCTGGACTCTCTCCAGCAGGTCCCTGTCCTTAAACTGAGGGGCCCAGAACTGGATACAATATTCCAGATGAGGTCTCACCAGGGCAGAGTAGAGGGGGAGGAAGACCTCTCTCAACCTACTAACCACCCCCCTTCTAATACACCCCAGGATGCCATTGGCCTTCTTGGCCACAAGGGCACAGTGTCGGCTCATGGTCACCCTGTCGTCCACTAGGACCCCCAGGTCCCTCTCCCTTACACTGCTCTCTAACAGGTCGTTCCCCAACCTATACTGGAACCTGGGGTTGTTCCTGCCCAGATGCAGGACTCTACACTTTCCCTTGTTATATTTCATCAAGTTATTCCCCGCCCAACTCTCCAGCCTGTCCAGGTCTCGCTGGATGGCAGCACAGCCTTCTGGCATGTCGGCCACTCCTCCCAGCTTAGTGTCATCAGCAAACTTGCTGATAGTACACTCAATTCCCTCATCTAAATCATTGATGAATATATTAAATAATACTGGTCCCAGTACCGACCCTTGAGGCACTCCACTAGATACAGGCCTCCAGCTAGACTCCGCCCCATAGACTACAACTCTCTGTCTTCTCTCCTTCAGGCAGTTCACAGTCCACCTCACTATCCGATCATCCAGACCACACTTCCTCAGTTTAGCTGGGAGGATGCTGTGGGAGACTGTGTCAAATGCTTTGCTGAAGTCAAGGTAGACCACATCCACCGCTCTGCCATCATCCATCCACCGTGTTCTTTCCTCATAAAAGGCTATGAGATTGGTCAAGCATGACTTCCCCTTGGTGAAGCCATGTTGACTGCCCCTCATAACCCTCTTATCCTTGATATGCCTTAAGATGGCACCAAGGATAAGGTGTTCCATCACTTCCCCAGGAATGGAGGTGAGGCTGACTGGTCTATAGTATATTCTTTATGGATTGCA